AAAGCAAAATCTGAGATTCTAGAGAGCTGTGATCTCCATGCATTACTTTAAAATTTTCCCTTCCCACAGGATGCAAATACATGTCTTTAATCCAAGATGGAAAATATACCATTGTTTGATTTCATCCTCTTTTTTCTTGAAGTTCTCTAGTTTTTTGAGGCCCTTCACTTTCTGTTGCTGTAAGGATTCTTCACTTTCCCATGTGCTGTGGATGTAAGACCAACCCTTCCACTTGATGAGGTACTGGACTTCACCTTCATCCTTTTCAGTGTCAAAGTCACCACTAGGGTCTCCATTAGCTTCAATCGCATACACAGTAGTAGAAGCTCCAGTGGCTGCAAAAGGATTAAGCACACTTGAAAGAGAGTATATTACACTAAACATTAAAAAGATTCCCAAGAAGGCAATTCTCTAAAGACTCCCTTTTTGGATGATGCATCAAAATACTCCCAACTTGAAATAAGGACAAACTCACTAACAACACAGGATGGACTCAATCAACACTTTCAAGTATTTTTAAAATGTACTTGACATTCTAAAATCTGCAGGTGAAATCAAAGAAATCCCTTATCTAAAAACAAAAAAAGCAGAGCAGCAACATCCTTTTGTTTTAGTCCCTTACTAACTCAGAAAACAAATCCCTCCCTCCAAAATTAAGGATAGAACACCAAAATATCCTCCCCCAAATTTCCCTACTCAAAGTCCCCTGCTAATTCTTTTAACCTCAGTAGAAGCCAGAATGAAAAAAGAAAAAGCATTAAGTATTATTTTGATATTTCCTTTATGGAAAGGTTTCTTTAATGAACTTAGTTATGAAATATCTAAATTAGAAATTTAAAAATCTTCACTATTATCAAAATACGTATTTAACCAGTTTGATATTTTCACAAGGAGATTAAGAAACAAATAACCAAAGGCGGGTTTGCTTAATATGAATTAGCAACTATCTCTGCTACATCACTGCTTTATAAAACATTGACATTTATCCATACTAGCTTAATTTAAAATCTTAAAGACACAGTGGACACATTGCTTTGTCCTCAGCTCTGAAACACTGGGTCAGAAAGACTTCTTCATAACACAACAAATATAGCAGTAGACTAAAATTCATCACATCAGAGTTAAAATACCTAAACTCTGAGCCTTAATGAGCAGATATAACATGTAATTTGCTCCCCAAGTACACACACCTCCTTTCTTTCCCAGTCTTGAATCTAAGACCTTTTCAATAGTTTCACTATTATCCTGCTGTTCATCAACTCCTTCTCCAGTCATTTCAATGAGATCGTCTGAGTCCGTCTCAAAGTCATCATCTTCTTTATAACTGCAAGCGGAATAATGCTGAATAAATGAGAAATGATCTCTTCAAAATTAAACTGCCACACATAACCATCACTAAAGTAAGGAACCATACCCTCTGGCTCCAAAAACATGTTGTTTTACAGATTTGCCATTCAATGGGCTAAAATCTTGCTTTTTTTTCTTAAAGTACTGATGCATGCTCCCAAACAACTGTACCAAGTCTAACTGTTAGTTGAAAATCAAAATGCTATATTTATACTAATATATATAAGCAAGATATAGAAAACTATGAGGACACTCCTCTTTTTTCCATTTTTTAATATCAGATTGTTATGTAAACAAGTAAACTACCACAAAAAAAAAAAAAGAAAAAGCAAATAGGAAGAAAAAATTGCTACTATTTCATCAGGCAAAAAGAGAAGCAATATTTATAAAATTAAAAGTTCCAACCCTGTATGTTGTCTCCCAGTAACAAGAACCTGAAATTTAAGTATTCCCAAACTGCTGGAAGCTTCAACACAAGTACTTCAGTTAAAAAAAAAAAAAAAACACACACACACACACACACACACACACACACACACAAACACACAACACACACACACAGGCAGGGCACAGTGGCTCATGCCTGTAATCCCAGCACTCTGGGAGGCTGAGGTGGATGGATCACAAGGTTAGGAGTTTGAGACCAGCCTAACCAAGATGGTAAAAGCCCATCTCTACTAAAAATACAAAAATTAGCTGGGTGATAGGTGCCTGTAATTCCAGCTACTCAGGAGGCTGAGGCAGGAAAATCACTTGAACCCAGGAGGCGGAAGTTGCAGTGAGCTGAGATCGTGCCACTGCATTCTAGTCTGGGCAACAGAGCAAGACTCCGTCACAGAAAGAAAAAAAAAAACTTCCCATCAGATATTAACAACAAACGACTGAGTCGCAAGAAAGAAAAACAATTCTGGATGTAGTACAGTTATAGTAAGAAAAAGTGCTAGGCTATATACTAACCTACTCAAAGCCTAGTCCTAGCTATGGAATTATTAATTGGATACACTGAATAAGTTATTAATGTCTCTAGGACTCATTTTCATCATCTCTAAGGAGAACAAAAGAAATCTGTAAAATCTTCTAAAAAAATATTCTTTGATTTCTATAAAAATAAACTACTAGTGTTTGCATATGTGTGTTCCTTTACTTCATTTTCTTTTTTTTTTTTTTTTTTCCTTTTTCAGACAGGATCTGGCTTTGTTGGAGTGCAATAGCACGATCTCAGCTCACTGCAACCTCCGTCTCCCAGGATTCTCCCACCTCAGTCTCCCAGGTAGCTGGGACTGCAGGTGCATGCCACCACCACACTTGGCTTTTTCTTGATTTTTGTAGAGACAGGGTCTCTTGCCCTATTGTCCAGGCTGGTCTCAAATTCCCAGGCTCAAGCACTTTGCCCACTTTGGCCTCCCAAAGTGTTGGAATTACAGGCATGAGCCACTGTGCCTGGCTTATTTCACTAATAGTAATTCCTATTAATGTGTCATATCCTATTTGTGAGCTGGATAAAATTAGATTCAAGTAGTAATACACAAGCTGAACCTCAGAAAAATGTGTGTGATTCAAAGAGCAATTCAGAAGTAGGAATATAATCCTAACATCTTTAACGAAAAACAAGTTATGAAATGAAGATAATGCCACAAAGTCACCACTGGCCAGGACATGAACTTGTGGTGGTTAACAGGAACGAAGGCTTCAAATGTGCTACTGCTACCCTTTTCATATTCCCCATGGCTCAATCCCACACGGGCTTTTTCCAAGAAAGCTGACCAGATTTCTGAAAACAACTTCAGGACATAGGTTGTTATTTTTATCTATCAAGTGCACAGCCCCGGACTTTTGAGAAGCAAACTCTAACCAACTACATCATCACATGACACCAATGAAACACTTCTGGGCCACAACGTACCTAACATTTTTAGCTGCTCTTCGACGAGTCTGCCTTTTTGGAGCTTCGTCATCATCATCATCCTCATCAGAAGACTCTTGCTTTTTTCTCTTTCCACGCTGAGTCTTAGGCTGCTTTTTAACACGAGCTTTGGGCACTGTTCTAAAATGAGAAGAGAAACAAATGGCAAAGTCTTCACTGCCTACTTTATATAACAGTTTCTCCCAGAGCAGTCGTTCATACATCAGAATGTAACATTTTCTTGGGGAATGTTGAACATGCATATTCTTGGGTCCTAGTCCCTGAAATTCTAAATCACTAGAAATTTGGATTTTCAACAGGAAGGTGATTCTAATGCTGATAAGCCTCAATCATTTACGGGAAAGAATGTGAATGTTTCATACATGTTCATAAGGATTACCTGACATAAAAACACAAATACAGCATGTTGTTCATGGTAGGGTCTCTTTGGCAGGCTTTTACTTGTAGGAATTGACAGTTGTACTTGTAGGAATTAATCCCTACTGATATACAACTAAACAGGCATAATAAAGTATTCACTACAGCATTATTTGCAATAACAAAAGATTAAGAAAACTCTAAATAGGCCGGGCGCGGTGGCTCAAGCCTGTAATCCCAGCACTGTGGGAGGCCGAGGCGGGTGGATCACGAGGTCAGGAGATCGAGACCATCCTGGTCAACATGGTGAAACCCCGTCTCTACTAAAAAAAAAATACAAAAAATTAGCAGGGCATGGTGGCGCGTGCCTGTAATCCCAGCGACTCAGGAGGCTGGGGCAGGAGAATTGCCTGAACCCGGGAGGCGGAGGCTGCGGTGAGCCGAGATCGAGCCATTGCACTCCAGCCTGGGTAACAAGAGCGAAACTCCGTCTCAAAAAAAAAAAAAGGAAAACTCTAAATAGTCTTCCACTGGGAACTAAATAGTACTATGTACTCATAAAAAAAGAAAAAGAGTTTTCTATATACTAATTGGAAAGGATTTCCAGGACAAAGAAACATACAGAACAAGAAGCATAGAATGCTATTATCTGTGTGAAGAAAATAAAGCACAAGAAATAACTATACATAAGTTTCTACTGTCTGTGTATAAAATATACCTGGAAGACTACTAAAGAGACTGCCTGCCCCGTCACAGAATTAACTTGGACAGACCAGGGAGATAGCCAGAACTGAGAGCCACCGTCTAGAAGCTCCCATAAGGAAATCCCCAAATTTTCCATCAGTGATAAAAAGGTGAAAGAAGAGAAGGAGAGAAATGGAAACTCACGATCACATTTATTACCTCTTTCTCTCATACCTACCATACCTTTCTCATAACCAAACCTAGAGAGATGATCCAGGATGTAATAAATAATGAGTAAAATTCTTAAAGAATCATTTCAGTCTTGGAGCTTAAACTGAGATAAAAGAAGATAAAATTCAGTTGACAAATTCCCCTGCTGGTGTTGGGGGTTAAGTACAATGTCCTAGGCCAAAGGTGGGCAAACTTTTTCTGTAAATGGCCAGAGGGTAAATATTTTAGGCTCTGCCAGCCAGGAGGCAAAATGGGGGCCAATATATAGGCACTTACATAATAAAAGGAAATAAATGTTTCACAAGTTTTCTTGTGAAATTCAAAATAAAATAATCATTAATTACATTTACTGTAATATATGTCTACTAATGAGAACAGAATTGTTTTTGAGGGGTAACATTTCACTTAACTGGGGTTCAAATTTAGTGCTCTCTATCCTTTTTTTTTTTTCCCCCCCTCAAGTTTTAATCAAAGCTTGTATATAAGATTACTTTATTCCTGCATCTTCTCAATTGTTTCTTCCTTGTATTTGCCCTTTTCCTTTCCTACTTGGCGAGATTTGGCTTTCCGTTCAAGGATCTTTTTGCAGTCTTTGTCCAGTTTTAGCCTAGTGATAACAACCTTGCTGGGGTGAATGCCTACATGGACAGTTGTGCCATTAGCCTTTTCCCGCTGCACCCGTTCAATGTAGATTACGTATTTCTTCCTGTACACCTGGACTACTTTGCCAATCTGCTGACCTTTATAGTGTCCTCGTACAACCTGAACTTCATCATCCTTTCGGATGGGCATGGATCGCACGCTGTACTTCTGTCTCAGCTCTTTGGAAAGAGGGGAGGACATAATCTTCCTGCGAATGTGGGAAGGTGCATTGAAATGCCTTTTGCGATTCTTGCTTTGGTCGGAAGTCACAAAGGGATTGAACTTCATTTTGGCAGCTCCCGCTTGGGCGATGGCCGCAAAAGGGAAGAGAGCCTATCCTTAAACTATAAATTAGAAACGTTCACCAATAAAAACTATTCTTAGCTCACAGGCCATACAAATGGGCGGTAGATGAAATTTGGCCTGAAGGGCACAGTTTGCTGAGCCCATTCTAAGCACTCCAAGGAGGTAATTTTCCCTGGGGCCTGTCAGTCATCTGACTTCCTTTTCCTGTCATCACTACCTTGGGCTGCCATCTGTCTTATCAGAAATTAGCATGATTTGCTGCTATTTCAGCCCACCTCCTTCTCTCCACAAGCACATTCTCTGTTTAATGTTACACAGATTGTATGAACAAGGTAATAAATCATTCAAGTGCGCTTTACACCAGGCAAACATCGTTTTAAACAATTTGTTCTCCCAAAAAGAGATTGCACCCTGTCCAAACATACACGGAGTTTTACTAAAAGTGGAAGACATGTTTGCCCCAGGAAAGCTAGACTGTGAAGAGGTAGCAGTAAGCCGTGCAATGTAGGCTAGTGAAAGTGAACCACAGACATCTAAAACCCAGAATCAAAACACAACTCATCTCATTAAGGCTCTGATTCCAGCCTGACATCATCCTTCCCCTCTGGAGCAATGAGCGTACCTTCTGGGGACAGGTCTTCTGGCTTTCACTTTCTTCTGCTCTGGCTCACTCTCTGCACTGGTGCCTTGCTCCTGTTCATCTTCTGAGGGGTCCCGTTTCCATTTTTCTCTGCGATCAAAAGCAAAACAAAATAATTTTTTTCTAAAAGAATTCAAGATAAATAAGCCAACAAAACCAGTTTCAATTTGACTATCTAAAAGGCAGAACGTGCATATGCTGAAAGAGATTTATTCTAGCTCCATTTAAACTTGAATTGTGATCCTTCCTGGACTACATAATATCTATTGCTATTTTATCTCCAGTAACAAAAACAAATAACAATGGATATATATGCTTTTTTTTTTTTTAACTTACTTCTATCATTGACAAGATTGAAACCATAATATTGCTACTGCAGAGAAGGCAAAAAGAAAATAAAAAAAGGAAACCATAATATGCACAAGATCAGTGGTTCCAAAATTTCAGAATGTATCAGAATCACCTAAAGGGCTTGTTAAAAAGTATTTCTAGACCAAGTGAGATGGTTCAGGCCTGTAATCCTAGCGCTTTGGGAGGCCAAGGTGGGAGGATCACTTGAGTCCAGGAGTTCAAGACCAACCCGAGCAAATACAAGACCCCTCTCTACAAAAATTAAAATTTAACTTTAAAAATTGAGCCAGGCCTGGTGGAGTACGCCTACGGTACTAGTTACTCGGAAGGCTAAGGAGGCAGAAGGATCACTTGAACTCAGGAGTCTGAGGTTGCAGTAAGCTGTGATTTTCGCCACTATACTCCAGCCTAGGTGATAGAGTGAAACCATGTCCCCATCTGCCCCTCCCCCACACACACAAAAAAAGATTTCTGGGCTCTAGTCAGAGTTTCTGATACAGTAGGTCTCAGGAGAGGCCTAAAAAATATGAATGTTAACAAATTCAAACAATGCTGATACTGGGTAGAAACTATGAGAATCACTATACTAGATATTTTAAGTCTTCAGAATACATTTAATGACGGTCCCTAAAATTATTTTTCAACAATAAACCTACCAAATAACTAAATAATCTGTTCAGCTAAAGATGTGGTTTTTAGTAATTATTAAATAAAGTAGATGTTCCTTTACTTCTTGAGATCTTAGAAGGCTTGAAAGAGCCATAAGCTACAGGTGTCCTCCTAACCCAAACGGTTTTAGTTTACTTGAAAATCAAACAAGATATTGCAGGGACCTCACTCATTTCTCACCTGCAGGGAAGAAGAAAGAAACATGTAATAGCTGCTGGGCGTGAAATATCTAGGGAAAAAACTGACAGGCAAGCGCTTGGTTGGGGTTTCTCTGTAAATAAAACAATTACCATTTTGCCTATGGGTCATTTTATAGGGAATGAGGTCATACTAAAGACAACAAACAGCTACAGAACTGCAAAGTCAAATCAATATTCTTCATGGGACAGCAGGTCAAAGTAATAGTGAAAGTGTATTGAAAAAAGGTACTGATCTGTACATTGAGAACCTTCCTAAAAGCTGCAACAGTCACCCTGTACCTGAACTGGTAGAGACCTTAGGGGGGAAAAAACAATTCAAGCCTTCCATGGACAGTCAGTGGAGCACTTTTATGAGCATAACTCAACTTCTACTAGCACTGCGTGTTTTCATATGCATTTCCCCAGTAGATGGCTCCTGGTATATCAAGTCTTTTTGTTCATCTTTGTACTAGAATTTAGCCAAAGTTAGGCAAATGGAGATGTTAAGTTTAAAAAA